CAGCTACCCAGCTCCAGGAAGAATCATGTGCTAGGCAGCTCAGGTGAAGGGGTCATCCCTGTGTGCAGGGTATCTGCATGCCAGCACCCCTGCCAAGCACCCCAAGTCCTACTGACAGTGTGACAGTGTTGCATCATTCTTGCTAACAAAATTCCCCAAGTCTTTCTTCCCAGATCCAGTTTTAGTCTAAACTTGTTGTCTATACCTGAATCAAGTGATTTCTAGTGAGGTCATTGCCTGGCCCCCTTCCCTCACACATCCTCTCCGAATAGCACCTCCTCACCCTCTCTGCTCTCTATCCTAGGGAGTCTTCCACCCCTACATGAGTGGAGCTCCAGTCCTACCAAGAATCTCCCCAAAGAACAGGAATCTGGGATAAGGATCACCTTGCCATAGGTAAAGAAAACATCTCCCATGAAGGTACTTCATTTCCATGAAAAGGCCTCCTATGAAGATACCCCAAAACTCCCCATGGTCGTGGGGACTGCAATGTGGGGTCTTTGTGGTCTAGCAGTAGATTGTAGTAAGGCAGACTCATCTGTACTGAAACTATCCCTCTAGTTAGAAAGATACTATCACTCAGAAACAGGTGTCCAGGTGGGACATAAACTAACAAACTTTGTAGATCAATGTGGCAATATTGATTTTAAAAAAATTAAATGCACATGCCCTTTGCCCTACCAACTTCCTTGTCAGATATACTTGTATATATACATAGAGATCTTTGCTGCCTTCACTCTATCTCCAGCACTTGGTGTTTGTTTGTTTTTTAAGATTGATTTATTTATGCACACAAGAGCTGGGGTATAGGCCAGAGGTGTGGGGGTGGGTGGGTGAGAGGATTCACCAGAGACAGATTGGGGAGCAGAATAGGCAGATGGACTGATAAACACTGCTGAGGGGAGCTTGGGGCAAATCAGGAGAGGTCTGCCAAGCCATGTGGGTCAGCTCCCTGGCTGGGGATGGAACTGTGCTGCAGTGGCTCAAGATTGCTTCACAGTACTGAGGCTTAACCCCTTGTGCCACCAGGGAGGCCCCTATCTCCAGCACTCTGTATAGAGCTTGGTAAATAGTAAATGTTCAGCAAATATGTAATGATTGATTAAATTCTTCATGTAGGTGTTGCTGCCTCTATGTTAGACAAACCCTGGGCAGAGGTAACAAGAAAGTAACCATCCAGGGAGCAAAGGAGGAGAGGTGCTGGCCAGATCAGTGAGGGTTTTCAGTTCTCTCAGTGGTCCAGCTCTCCAGTTCCAGCCTCCTCAGGGACAGCTCTCTCCTTCTTAATTTAATGCCTTTTAAAATCCATTCTGCCGGCACTGAAACTCCTTTGCCTCCAAATGAATCCACCTGAGTCCCTCTTCTCATTTTTCTGTTTTCGGATTTAAAAACTCTAAACCCTTTTTGCTTTTTGCCAGGTCTGCCTTGTCTACTACAAGTTACGGCAGGTGTCGAGGAAAAGAAAATTAGGTGTCTCCCTCACCTAACTGTGAACTGCTCAAGACCAGAAGTGACTTGTTGATTTATTTTGGCATCTAATTGCCAAGTGTGAGCTAGGCACATATTAGGTTCTCACTGTATGCATGACTGAATAAACACCGAAGGCACATGTGAATGAAAGAAGGAAACTGTAGGGGAAAGGCAGGGGGGTGAGGGGAGATGCAGCCAGAAGGGTCTTACCTGAGGGTGCAGTTGGAAACCCAGTCTCTCCTCGAGCAGCCAGGGGCTTACAACAGAGGTCTACCTGATCCACCCTGGGAAGAACCAGAGCCTTCTCACTTCTGACACTGACTCTGCCAACACTCAACTAGTCTCCAGTTGTTGCCAAGGTCCCAAGTGCCTGTGTGTGCCAGAGAAGCTCTCCAGGGAGGTGTGGTCAGACCCAGCAAATGCGCTTAGGAAAGATTCTGCAGCCGACCAACCAGCTCCTGTCTGGGCTCTTCCCAGATTCAGCCCAGAGCCTACGGTCTCCCTATCTTAAAAGCTGCAGCTGCTACCTCCCACCAGGTGTGTTCCTGTGAAATTCCTTCCTCTTTCAGGAGGCCTTCCCTTGGAAAGGCAGTTGCCACTTCCTGTGCTAAGGTGGAATCTGTATAGCTCCCTTCACATACTTACCCTTGACTTTCACTTGACATACTTTATTGTATCTCTGACTGAGTTCATTATTTTTGCCTCTTGTCTCTCACTACCATGCACTGTGTTTGGGACTCTTTCAAGGGCAGGCAGAAGCAGAGGTCATGGTGTATAAATAAAAGTTGCCAGGCTCGTTTAGGGCCAAAGTTTCTAGCCTGACACTAATCCTTTTTTTAAGATTTATTTATTTATGTGTACAAGAATGGAGGTACAGGCCAGAGGGGCAGGCAGGGGGTTAGAGGATTCACCAGAGACAGAGTGGGGAGCAGAACAGGCAGATTGAGAAATACACTGCTGAGGGGAGCAGCAGGTGGGTCAGGAGAGGTCTGCCCTGACATGTAGGTCACCTTCCTGGCTGGGGATCGAACTTGTGCTGCAGTGGCTATAGCTAGCTTCATAGTGCTGCACTTTAACCCACTGCACCACCAGCCAGACAAATGGGACTGAAGTCATCCTGGGCTCTTTGTTTATTCTGACCCTGGTTTATTTGGAATGGAGGCTTTTTTTTTTTTTTTTTTTTGGTGGAGGGGGAGGCATTATTTTTTTTTAAAAAAAGATTTATTTGTACATACAGAACTGGGGTACAGGCCAGAGGCTCAGGGGCGGTGAGAGGCTTCACCAGAGACAGAGCGGGGAGCAGAACAGGCAGATCGACGAAGTACACTGCTGAGGGGAGCAGCGGGCGGGTCAGGAGAGGTCTGCCACGCCATGTGGTCACCTCTGGGGCAGGCGGGAATCGAACTCATGCGGAAGTGGCTTTAGCTTCTCAGTGCAGTGCTTTAACCGCTGCGCCACCAGGGAGGGCCGGGAGGCATTATTTTTAAGGGGGAAAAGCATGACACATTGGTTTGACTAAAAATAAAATGGAGTTTAACTCATTTGATATTAACTATTTAATACCTATTTAAAATCATTTTGTATAATATTCCTGGTTGTAGACTACGGTTGGTTGTAGACTAATCCTGGCAAGTATAAGACTGCTCAGATAATGTCTCCAGATGACTGGGACTGGAATATATAAAACAAGAATAAAGTCATAATTTCCGTCACATTTCGTCATCTACAAATGGTCATTAACTCTGGAAAAGAGTATCACAGGACAAAAAGAGACTGAAGTATTCTCTGAGCTTATTTATCATAACACAAGTAGAACCAGGTTTAGGGAAACCTGGCAGTCTCCTGGAAGGTTTCTGTTAAACTCCCTGGAAGGGAGCTGACAAACTGCCCTGTCCTTTAAGGTGATGTTTACATTTTTAGATGAATGAAGGAAAAAATCAAAAGGGTCATGAGATATGAAAAATCATGTTAAATTAAAAAAAAAAGCAGGACCTGCCTCCCTCTGAGATGTTTGGGAGTCTCATCTTAAGTGTGGGTTCTGTTTACCTCTCTCCCTCTTAACTTAGATGTCTCAGGGATGTGTATGGGGCCCAGTGCTACTAATCCTTGATCACAGATACAGGAGTGTCAGGATGAAAGCAACCTCAGCAATCCCCTAGTCTAAGTTTCTTATTTTACAAAGGAAACTCAGGGAAACAAAGGCCCAAGAGGTGGTCTTACTGTGACTAGGTAGGCAGAGGGACGTAGCCCCTGTGGGAGCTGGCAGGTACTATGAGTACAGTCGAAGGGTGGCGTGCACGAGCACCCTGTGGCCACCGTGTAAGTACACATCCTGCAGACTCTCACACACATGTGCCAGGAGACACAGGCAAGACTGCAGAAGCTGGAGAGAGCCCAGATGTCCTTGAACCACTGAATAGAAGAATGAGTGCATCAGGATATGTTTATGCAATGAAAAACTACAGCAGGGGAAAGTGAAGTGCAGCTACACAAAACATGACTGAATCTCAAAAATGTGACGTTTAGCAAAAGAAGTGGAGCATAAACAACGATGGTGTGGTTCAATTTACATAGCGTTCCAACAAGCAAGCCTAAGTTGTCTTAGAGTGGGTACATGCTAGAATGGGAAAGCTATAAGAAAAGCAAGGAAATAGTTATTACAAAAATGTGACCTGAAACTGGTTCTTTCATTCTATACATACTTGGCAAATACCTGCAACATGTCAGGGCACTGGAGCAACAACAGTGAAGGAAAGAAAGATGCTCACCCATGTGCAGCTTACATTTTATCAGGAGAGACGTGATCAACTATGCATAAAATAAAGTGAAGCTATTTAGATCAGAGCGTGGTGCTAACAACAGCTTGCCAGCGGACAGAGGCCATCTTCTCTGAAAGCTTCAACTTCTTTTTTCTTTTTGTAAGATTTATTTATTTATGCATACAAGAACTGGGATACAGGCCATAGGTACAGGAAGGTGAGAGGATTCACCAGAGAGCAGGAGCAGAACAGGCAGGTGTACTGAAGTACACTGCTGAGGGGAGCAGCAGGTGGGCCAAGGGAGGTCTGCCACGCCATGTGGGTCAGCTCTCTGGAAGGAGATCGAACTTGTGCTGCAGTGGCTTCGGAGAGCTTCGTAATGTGGTGCTTTAAGCCCCTGCGCCACCAGGGAGGACTCTGACTATGTACCATTTTAACAATCTATAGCAAGACAGTTTCACTCCAGTGCACAGGCTGATACTCTTTATACATCTTGTGAAAAGGTGGTCTTCCCTCACCTCCTTCCCTACTCAGTCTCAACTCAGTGTTACCTCTTTTGTGAGCCACTTCTAACCTATCCCAGATCTTAATTGAATTATGTACTCATTTGAGTCTGAAACTAGTCTTTTCATCTCCCTCACAGGTACACAGATGTTTGAATAACTTATCGCTTTGGGTAGTCACTACTATTTATGCATCTCTCTGCCTCATTAGATAGAACTCTTCCAGGGAAGGGACCAAATTTTTTTCTAAACTGGTTATTAAAGACATTCTTTAATTTTTAAACTTTAAAAAAAATGAAATAACTATAGACTGATGCGAGTTGTAAGAAATAATACAAAGAGAAACCCTGTGCCCTTTATCTAGTTTCCCTCAACTGTGTGTGTAGGGGGACAACTTTAGCATAATAGCAACCAGAAAACTAACACTGATACAATCCTTTGATCTTATTCAGATTCTCCAGTTTTGCAAGTACGCATTTGTGTTTGTGTGTGTAGTTAAGGATATATTTTTAGCATTTAAATTTTCACAATGACTTATTTAGCTCTTACTCTCTGCCAGACATTTGAATTCTGGGAAAACAAGGCTAAGGAATTTGCCAAAACTCCTTACCGATTTAAATGGAGTAAAGACATTAAAAATCTGATACTTAAATGGAGTAAAGACAAGGTATTGTTGGGACCTAGAAGAACTTTGCCCGCCTTTATTTGGAGGAGGGACAAAGAGGCAATGGAGAAGGATGTCAGACAAGCCCTTGGTCGGCACGTGCAGCAGGCACTGCAATAATTAATCTGAACCCTGTTATCTCCACTTAGTCGCACACAAATCCTCACACCCCGAAGGTTTCATTATCTTCACGTTCACTGGTCGGAAAAACGAAGGCTCAGAGCGCCCGGGACAGGGTCACCCTGGTCACAGTGACTCCAAGCCCAGCGAGGCGACATGTCACGCACTCATCCTTGACAGGTACGCCCTATCCCTGTTGGAGTTCTGCCCCTAAAGCTCTTCCTGCCTTCCTGGCTGCAAGTTCTGGACTCAAGGCAACACTGTAGAGAACCGAGGGAGCGTGCCACGGCAAAGAGCGCAGCACGAGGCGCCCTGCAGCCGCTGTCCACGCGCCGGTCACTCCCTGGCCTGGTGCGCGGCTCACTGGCGCATGCGCACGCCGCACCCGCAGCACCAGGGTCTCCGGCCCCCGCGTATGAGGGGAGGGGCCGGAAGTAACTCGAGTCTCTCCGTTGCTAAGCGACGGGGCTTCCACAAGCCAAACAGATGTTCTCCGGCTTCTTTTCCTCCCGTTTACAGCTCCAGCAGCTCCGAATCCCGTCACCATGTCAGACGCAGAAACCGATGGCTTGCGAAGCACCTTTTCCTCTTACATGACCGAGGGCGAGCGACTCTATCTGTGCGGGGAGTTCGCTAAAGCCGCTCAGAGCTTCAGCAACGTGAGTGCCACTCTGAATCCACCCCCACTTTTGATCCCTGGTAACTCTGAGGTCCTCTTGATGCTTGGGGGGCCCTATTGTCCCTATTATTCTCTGGTTCCTGGTTGATACACTACTGTCATAGACAACCTACTGCTTGGACATCTTCCCTCAATTTCCACTTGCTCCTGGCCCTATTGTTAATAACCATTCTCTGCGTTCACCGTGACCCCTTCTACTTATTCACTTAAGTATGTTGTGATTGTCTGCCTCCTTCCACAGACCAGCGTCAATTTCCCATCTTGGATGGGGAGATTGGGAGGCTGCACTGTAGAAGTGGTGACATCTCTGGCACCTGGTTGCTCTCAGAAGGTGGTCAGTAAATAACAATATTGTACAGGAGCTTAGTATGAATTGCTCCACCCATACCATGGGGTTGGGTGCAGTTTTAGGGTATCAGGCACACTGCGGAGTGCAGGTCAAATTTATGCGGGAGGTATTGTTACTACCTTGTTTTATAGAGAGTTGAAACTCCACTGCTCGGGTGCTGACCACCACAAGGAAGCTATTGGATATTCTTATGACAATTTCTTTTACAACAAAAAGCCCACTCTTTTTTTTTTTTTTTAAGATTAAAAAATATGTTTGCATAGGGGAGGGAAATGCACTGGACTATGGTGATGGCACATGGGTGATGTGGTGATGGGAAACCCAAGGGGATTGCAACTGAGATGGGAAAATGCACAAAAATATGTAAAAATAAACTTATAAAATTAAAAAAATATATATATATTTGCATAGAAGAACTGGGGTGCAGGCCAGAGGTGGGGGTAGCAGGAGAGTGAGAAGGGTACAGGCTCACCAGAGACAGAGGGGGAGCAGAGCAGGCGGATCCACAGAAATCCACTTCTGAAGGGCACAGCTGGCGAGACAGGAGAGGTCTGCTGCGTCATGTGAGTCAGCTCCCTGGCTGGGAAATTAACTCAGGCATTGGCCGTACAAAAAGTCCACCCTTATTCTGAGTGAGTAGCCCTCTTACCAGTCCCAAGACTCCTCCCAAAGTCAAGTTTCTTTACTGCAATCCAGTCTCCTGTCTCTTTTGACCACCCCAGACACATTAAACACAGAAATGACTGACTAGCTGGGCCAACAGTTGAATTCAGGTGCCTTGCTCCCACTCATTCTCTTTCTGGACCTTGTTCCCTCCAGCAGATGTTAAAAGGCAGCAAGAAAAAGTACACCACTAGGGAAGGGAGCTTTGAATGAGAAATGGTCTGTTTCTAAGAAAGACAGAAGCCACTTCCTCTTCCTGGAAAAGTATCAATAGGAAGGTCTTAGAAAGGGGTGGGTATAGCCGGATATTTCTGGAAGGTCTGTACCTCACTGCCTCTGAGAATGATCTCAGACAGAAGAGGGTGGGGAGCCAGGGAAGCGCCCTACTCCCTCTGTAGCAGCTTTTCTTGGCATTTTCATCATCCTCGCCTGACATAGCAATCCATTCTCAATAAACTATGTAAAAAATAAAAAATAAAAAAAGACAGGCGGAGTGGAAGGGGTAACTCAAGTTGCACACTGTCAACAGTCAAGCATTTTGAAATCTCTTTCAAGTGTGAGGTACAGACATTTCAGGTTTGTGGCTGAATTTGGCATGCCCCAAACATCCTGAGATTCTGTTGCCTGAGAGGAGGGGAGGAATCCCAGATATTTGGGGGAAATTCAGCTTCACCTGAGTGGTCTATTCTCACAACGCAACCAGTAGCTTCCACACGTTGGCTGGTTCAGGACAACCTGGGGTAGAGCTGACCAGGGTGACTGAGCAAAAATCATTGTGGTGCTGCTTGGGTCTGATGAGACCCAGAACCCTGTCTGCAGACCTGAGGAGTCTTCTTGAGCCTCTGGCAGGACGGTTTGGGCCACTATTTCCTGTCATCCTCTACCCTGCCTTCCTGGATGCCTGCCAACCAGAGTGGTTCTCTCTCAGGCTCTCCACCTTCAGAATGGAGACAAGAATTGCCTGGTTGCCCGCTCCAAGTGCTTCCTGAAGATGGGAGAGCTGGAGAACTCCCTGAAAGATGCTGAGGCTTCACTCCACGCTGACCCCACCTTCTGCAAGGTGAACACTCAATCCAGCTTCCCCCACTGCCATCGCCTGCAGCAACCCCTGGCTGAAGAACCAGCCAAATGGTCTGGCCCTTGATGCCAGCTTCTTTCCACTTACCCCTTGCTCCCTGGATCCCAACCTTGATCCCAGACCCTGGACCCTTCTGCTGCCACACCTGAGTCCTGTTAAGTCTAGTCTGTCCACTTTCACTTCCTTTCATTCCAGGGGATTTTACAAAAGGCTGAGACCTTGTACACCATGGGAGACTTTGAGTTTGCTTTGGTGTTCTACCATCGAGGCTACAAACTAAGACCTGATCGGGAATTCAAAGTCGGGATCCAGAAAGCACAGGAAGCCATCAACAACTCGGTGGGAAGTGAGTGACCTTGGGGCCCTGTCCTTGTCAAAGACTCTCAAACCATAGGTTTAAGGAAGAGGTGAGTTCACCTGGCCTGCTGCTGGCTGTGGAGGCCTGGGAACCGTCTGCTGGAGCCCAGTCCCTACCTACTGTACCAGACTTTCTCATAGTAGGCCTCGCTGGCCTGGGGCCAGTGGTTTGGAATGGGCTCCTGACTGCCTGCCTTCCCCCTTTATCATCTACGCACCAAGGGCTGGACTTCCCCATTGCCTTCGTGGCAGGGGCAGGAGGGCGGAGGACCCGAGCTGGCCCCTGGTTGGCAATGGCGTGGGGCCTTCCAGTATTTGGAAATCTGGCTGCTATGCCTTGGGCTAGCGGGGGCTGGTTGCTGAGCTCCTAGGAGCATGTACCATGCACCCTGTGCCATTTGCCTGCGAGACTGACTCAGAGTCAGCTTTGCCACAGTCTCCATCATCCTCCTGCCCAAGACAGCCATTTCCACATAAAAATATGTGATGGGTCATGCTCGGGGGCCTGGCAGACCTGAGTCCCAGCTTCGCCCTTACAGGTCCATCTTCGGTTAAACTAGAGAACAAAGGGGACCTCTCCTTTCTAAGCAAGCAAGCTGAGGTAAGGGCCCTGGGTCTGAGGCTGAGGAAAGACGTGGTTCTCTGAGGAGAGTGGCCCCAGTGACCTGAGGAGCACATGTCCTAGGGACACTGTCCAGGAGTGATTACCCTTGTCATGATGGGCAGCCCTGGCACTCTGCCCAGCTCCAGAGGGGCCTGGGAGTCTGACTGTTCCTTGGTTTCGGCCCACAGAGAGATCCTGGAGGAGAAATCTGGGGTCCCAGACTCTGGGGCCGTGGGTGGGTACCCTGTGCTCCTCATTGAGGCTGCTGTATCTTCGCAGAGTATGAAAGCCCAGCAGAAGCCTCAGCTTGTCATGAGACAGCACTTACAGCAACCCAAGAGAGAATACAAGCGGAAGGCCTCCCTCAAGAATGAGAAGATTGTCCGCCAGCTCCTGGGAGAGCTGTACGTGGACAAGGAGTATCTGGAGAAGCTCCTGCTGGATGAAGGTTTCAGATACTTGGTTTGCAATGGGATCTTGGCGCAAAGGAACTCTGGGGTGGATGCAGATTGCACGAGACAGGGACAGTCTGTCGTCTAGTAACAGCTAGCATGCTCCTCTGGGCAGGGTTGACTAGCATTCTCATTTCACAGATAAGGAAACTGAGACACAGCAGGCTGAGTACCTCATGCCGGCATGTGTGAGGGCCCAGCAGTGACCTAGCTTTCAGATTTGAATCCAGGAGCCCAACTTCACAACCAGGGTTCTTACGCACTGTAGGACTCTGGGAGGGACCACCGGAGGCTTGGATACCCTAGGCCTTGAAGGGTGTCCCCTAGCCTGGGGTCTGCATAATGGGCAGAGGAATCCAGCTGGGAGGTGCTAGAAGGAGAATCCTAGGCTTCCAGAACTAGATTGTCCTGAAATCCCACCTGTCCAATTCCTGCTCGAAGAGAAGAGTTAGAGCCTCTAAGTAATGAGTCACTCATCCCAGGTGACAAGTAGTTGCTGTTTCTGCAGCTCCAGGCCTCCTTGCCTCCAGTTCAATGCTCATCCTCCCACGCTGACAGTAACTAGGATGACGGTGGAGCCCGACATGAATGTCTCCATAGCGTGGCGGGTGGGAGTAGTGCCCCTGAGAGGGGATCACCCTTCAGGTGATCACCCTTCAGTCAATGCCTTTTCTCCAGAACCGACTTCTCAAGGTCAGATGCAGGATTCCAGGCAGGTCTGTGTCACGGGGCCGCTGCACTGCTGACACATCTCTGTCACTGGCCTGACCACCTCCCTCCCTCCAGAGAAGCCTTTGTGCTGGCCAGAGGTGGCCTGGACATTACCCCAAGTGGCCCTGCAGCTTTGCCACAGTGTCTAGCCTCTGGGCAGGTGGGCAGGCAGGACCAGGGCACACGCCTCCAGTGACCAGCACGAGCTGGCCTGTTTGGCACCTGGGGAATCCGTTGGCATGGGCATCTTGAGCCAGGTCTTGCATTTAGACTTGACCTTCCCTGAGGACAGGGACTGCAATGCGGGGACCCTGAGCGTTGTCCTTCCTGCTTGCTCCTTACATTTTGTCACAAGTGGCCTCTGCAGACTCTGAGCAATGGGTGTACCCCGAGGAGGGGGCCGCTCTGGCTGCCTTGGCCAAGACAGACCCACTCTGCCCCGCGTGTGCTCCCACTGTCCCTCCTGTTCCTGCAAAGTCAGGCAGAGCTGCCCACAGCGGGCCCTGCGGCAGGGACCCTGAACCAAGAGGAGGCGACCCCGTAGATGCCAGTTCTAGTTGGTTCCTCTTCACCCTTCCCCACAGACCTGATCAAGGGCACCATTAGGCATGGCCTGACCGTGGAGGACCTCATCATGACGGGCATCAACTACCTGGACACCCGCAGTAACTTCTGGAGGCAGCAGAAGCCCATTTACGCCAGGGAGCGGGACCGGAAGCTGATGCAAGAGAAATGGCTGAGGGACCGCAAACGCCGCCCCTCTCAGACAGCTCGCTACATCCTCAAGAGCCTGGAGGAGATTGATATGCGTGGGTGGTGTTTCCAGAGGGGGCCGGGCCCCAGGTGGGGAGGGAGCAATCTGGGGTGGGGAGGTGGCTCCTAGACTGCCCCCACCTCCCCACCGCCTCTCCCTCCCCAGTGCTGACCAGCGGCAGTGCGGATGGGAGCCTTCAGAAAGCTGAGAAAGTCCTAAAGAAGGTGCTGGAGTGGAACAAGGAGGAAGTGCCCAACAAGGATGAACTGGTTGGAAACTTGTACAGCTGCATAGGGAATGCCCAGATCGAGCTGGGGCAGATGGTCGCCGCCCTGCAGAGCCACCGGAAGGACCTAGAGATCGCCAAGGAATAGTGAGTGTCAGGGCAGGCCTTGGGCCTCCAGGCTGGTGCTTTGTCTCAGCCTTTGCCAGGGCTGCTGGAGCCATTTTCTGCCCTGCTTGCCTGAGGTAGAATCCGCCCCCACCCTCAGGAGCAGCCTACCTGGACTGGGACTGGGGTAAAGGACAAGCCGAGGCTATTTGCCTCTTTGCCACAAAGCGGAGGGAGGTGGCCCGGAACTCCCCAAAGCTCCCAGTGCCGAGGCTCTTAGGGCTGTTTTGTTTGCCCAAGCATTCATCGACCCCAGGCATGCCTCGTGCAGCTAAGTCCACTAACCATCATGCAGGCCAGACCTAAGGATCATTTGCCTGCAAGCTGCAAACAAACACACGCTACCGCTAATTAGTCGTCCCTGTGAAGTTTGTGTTTGTCCAGTTCTAAGGGAAATTAAGCCCCAGGAGTTCTTGAGGTGTGCGCCCTGAGGCAGGCAGGAGGAAGGCAGGGTTGGCCACAGTCTTGCCAGGGGAGAGTGGCCAAGGGCAGGCCAGAGCAGCGGGGTTGGATCAGGCAGGGGCTGGCCCCAGAGCCTGGGCTCAGAGTGGTGGTGCGCTGGGCTTCAGCGCTGAGCCTCCCAGGCATGGGGCCCCTTAGCTTTGCTCAGCCTGGGTCCCTCCTCTGTCCAATGCACATGAATGACATTAGCCGAGCGGGCCCGAGGGAGGCTGGCATGTGGATGTGCACACGGAGGCCTCAGGACTACGTAATGCTAAGAGGAACCCCCCCCCCCACCAGCCGCTGCGCAGACTGCAGGCTCCCCTCAGAGCCCTGCCTCTATCCTCTATCCTTCAGTGCCTCTGCGACTGTCTCCTGCCCAGTTTCTGCTCCCCCCACATTTCTGGGCCTCTGGCAGCCTCCCATCAACCTATTTCCACTCACGGGGCCGCCTCCCCCGCTTCCAGCTCTCTGGCACCTCACCACTTGTCACCTCCAGAGACGCTGCTTGTCCTCTGCCCACGCTCCTCCCCCTCTGACAAACACTGGCCTCTCCGTGTCTGCAGGTTAAAACCAAATGCTTTTGCTTGGCTCCCCAGGCCCTCTCTGGGCTCTTGGCCCCCAGGCCAGGCCTCCCTCTGGGTCTGTATTTCCTGGCCTCCTGCCTGCGCTCGGGTCCAGCTCACCTAGCCTGCGCTCGGGTCCTCGCGGCCTCATCATGCTGAGCGGGACCATCAGACACAACCGGCCTTGGAGACAGACCTGACCTTGCTGCCTGGCTTTGGCACCTGGAGCCACGTGGGTTTGGTTACATGCTCCCCTTGTTTCCTCATCTCTAGTGACGGCATAAGGGCCCACGCACAGGGATTATGATTAAATAAGAGGTGTGCATACGGCCCGCTGGATCCAGCCGTCCAAGGTGTCTACACCCTTCCTTCACCCCAACCTCAGGCCTGCCCCACCTCTAACCTGTGCACAGGGGAATCCCTGTCTTCCGCCCAGACCTCTCGATCCCCTCAGGCGCCTATCCTGCGATGGCCCCCCAGGCCCAGGAGGAGCCTGGTGCCTGCAGCTCTGCAGACCCTCCCTGGCTCACGGTTCTAGCCCAGCCCCACCAGCCTCTGTGGGCCTCCTCCCCAGCCGCGCCCTTCCTGCCTCCCTCCCGTGGCACACCCAGCCCTGTGCCTGTCTGACCCTTTCCAGTACGCCTACCGGCCTGCTTGTGAACATGTACCCATACATAGGGTTTTCGAAACAAAAGCAACTCCTCTCTCTGTTGGGTCTTGAAAGAATGTACCGGGAAAGGGCCTCCTTAGATGGCTCCAAAGGAAGGCGTTTCAGCACTCATGGTCATCTGTCCTGCCCGGTGGGCACTGAACCTACCCTGGAGGGCGGGCCTGGCCGGCCACGTTGAGGGCTGAGTCAGGGGAGGAGCAGTGCATTGAGGCCAGGGGAGCCTGCTGGCTGCAGGCCCTTGAGGAAGTCCCCAGGCTTGCCTGGGAGGGAGAGAGGGGCTGCTGGAGGAGGGGGTCTGAGATGTGAGGGAGGTTCTGGTTTTATTTGTTGGGAAGGAGGAATTTTTACTTTAAGATTTATTTATTTTGTGCATACAAGAACTGGGGTACAGGCCAGAGGGTGGCAGGTGCCCACAGCCTGGGTTGGGGAAGGGAGAGTCCTTGAGGGTGAGAGGTGAGAGGATTCACCAGAGACAGAGTGGGGAGCAGTACAGGCAGACTGACTGAAATACACTGCTGAGGGGAGCAGTGGGGAGACAGGAGAGGTCTGCTGCGCCATGTGGGTCAGCTCCAAGCCGGGGCTCAAACCCATGGCACAGTGACTCCAATAGCCTCATAGTGCTGAGACTTAAACCCTTGTGCCACCAGGGAGGGCCCAGTAACTTTTTTTTTAAGATTTATTTGTTTATGCATACAGAACTGGGGTACAGGCCAGAGCTGCAGAGGGTGAGGGATTCTCCAGAGACAGAGCAGGGAGCAGAACAGGCAGAGGTACTGAAGTACACTGCTGAGGGGAGCAGCGGGCGAGACAGGAGAGGTCTGCTGTGCCATGTGGGTCAGCTCCCTGGCCGGGGATGGAACTCACACTGCAGTGCTGTGATAGCGTCATAGTGCTGCACTTTAGCACATTGTGCCACCAGGGAGGGCCCCTGTAACATTTTTAATTGGGTAAATTACAAGTTCCCCTCATACTCGTATCTCTGAGTTAAGAATTGGACTTATGGGACTCTGCAGTCACTGCCACACGAGTTCCATCCGCGGCCAGGGAGCTGACCCCCATGGCGCAGCAGACCGCTCCTGTCTCGCCCCCTGCTCCCCTCAGCAGTGTATTTTGGTCCATCTGCCTGTCTCTGGTGAACCTTCTCATTCCCACCTCTAGCCTGTACCCCAGTTCTTGTGTGCATTAATACATCTTAAAAACAGTTGGAGACTTCTTTTAAAATGCCCACTTCTTACTTGTTTTTACTTCTTACCCTGTTGACCAGTTTCTTTACTGTTTGTGCAGTCCTCAGAGTAGCCAACTTGTGGTGAACAGCATGACTTGCTTCTTATTCACAGTGACCTTCCTGATGCCAAGTCGAGAGCCCTTGACAATATCGGCAGGGTTTTTGCCAGAGTTGGGAAATTCCAGCAAGCCATCGACACGTGAGTTGCCAAGGACTGTCCCTTCCCCAACCCAGGCTGTGGGCACCTGCCACTCTCATGCCAGAATGCCTGGCCCAGGCCAGACCTGAGCTGGGCTCCTGGCTCTGTGAGGCCATCCCGGCAGCCTTTTGCAAACTCTGGACTCATCCCTTTCGTTAATAGAATAGAACCTGCATTTTCTCAACAATCACAACTGTGATTAGCACTACCTGGAGTACTTGCAAGGCACGCGCATTACCGGGCTTCACCCCTAGAAATTCTGACTCTACAGGTGCGGGGCAGAGCTCAGGGACCTGTTTTAACAAGCTCTCAGTTGGTCCTTACCTCGGCAAGTTCAGGAGCTGTGGACTCCACTTCTGGGTCCTCTTCCAGGACTGTGCTGTGACAGGGCAGTCAGGCAGGGCTGAGGGAAGGAGGTCTGAGCTCCGCAGACTCCCATGCTGGCCTTTGATGTCCAGTGACCTGCGCCAAATGGTGACTGAATCCCAGGGGACCACCAGGGAGGGCCTGACCTGGGCACTGGCCTGAGCTGGGAGAGACAAAAAGGTTGTTTTCCTGAATGAGACTCGGTGTCCACGTGTCGGACTATGAGACCTCCACACCCATCCGTATCATTTTTTTTTTAAAGATTTTTTTATTTATTTATACAGACTGGGGTACAGGCCAGAGGCACAGGGGTGGGGTGTTGAGAGGATTCACCAGAGACACAGTGGGGAGCAGGACAGGCAGATGGACAAAGTATACTGCTGAGGGGAGCAGCGGGCTGGCCAGGAGAGGTCTGCCGTGCCATGTGGTCACCTCTGGGGCCAGGGATCGAACTCGCACAGAAGCGGCTGCAGCTGGCTCGCTTGCAGTGCTGCACTTTAACCTGCTGCGCCAACAGGGAGGCCCCATCTGTATTTTTTTTTATAATAAAGTGTTTTATAATCAATATATGCCTAATATATATTAAAATCTTAATTTGGAAAATACAGAAAAGTAGGACAAAAATGATGCAATCCTACTACCCAAAGACAAGCAGGAATTTTTAAAAAGTATTTATTTATTTATGCATACAGAAGTGGGGTACAGGCCAGAGGTGCAGGGGCTGAGAGGCTTCACCTGAGACAGAGTGGGGAGCAGGTTGACAACACACTGCTGAGGAGAACATCGGACGGTTCATGAGAGGTCTGCTGCGCCATGTGGGTCACCCCCTGGCTGGGGATCGAGATCAGGCTGCAGTGGCTTTGGCTTCACAGTGCTGCGCTTTAACCCACTGCGCCATCAGGGAGGGCCCGACAAGCAGGAATTTTAGCCCTGCTCTTACTGATTTCTCTATTCCAAACTGTATAGTGTGCTGATTTTCTCCCGTTTAAGACTATTCTCACACATTTTAAAAATAATAGTTTATTTTTACATCATTTTGTACATTTTTTTTTCATCTCAATTGTAATCCCCGTGGGTTTCCCATCACCAAGTCACCCATGTGCCATCATCACACATTTTTAATGTTATTTCAAATGGTTCCTTCTAAAGATGATTTTCAACTGTATTGTCAAATTTGATCCCATAGCTCTATTAGAATAGCTTTCATAGTTTTAAAAAATCTGTCGATGCTTCTTAGCTTCACTCTGTATCTAACAGACCTGGTGAATGTAGAACAGTTTTTCCTCTCATCCGCTGGAAGCCCTGCTCACCTATGGCCGAGTGCAGGGGTTGAGTGGAACAAGCTAACTCTGTGCTCCGGTCCCCAGGTGGGAGGAAAAGATCCCTCTGGCGAAAACCACTCTGGAGAAAACCTGGCTGTTCCATGAGATTGGCCGCTGCTACTTGGAGCTGGACCAGGCCTGGCAGGCCCAGAGTTACGGAGAGAAGTCCCAGCAGTGTGCCGAGGAAGAAGGGGACATTGAGTGGCAGCTAAATGCCAGCGTTCTGGTGGCACAAGCACAAGGTACAGCCGAGAGGCCCCCCTAACCTTCCCCAACCCCCAGGCCCAGTAACCATGCCGGGCTGGGGGTCCCATGCACCTGTGTGTCCCCGTCCAAGTGAATTCTGATTCTCAGAGTGGGGAGAAGCCCTCATTTGGCCACCTTGAGGAAAACACTGATATTAAGCTGAACTGAGAGTTTGGGGCATCTGAGGGAACTTTCTGGCGTGATGGGAGTGCCTTAACCTGGGGTTAGTGGTGGGGATTCATTACCCTTCTGCAAAAATCATACAACTGTGTGCTCACAGATGGGTGCATTTTATAACGCGAATCATATCTCAATCAAATTGCCAGAAAACGGAAAGAAAACCAGCAAGGGGCAGGGAAGAAGGAGGAATAGATGAAACAGAAGTGGCGATATTTTGCTAATTGTGAAGCTGGGTGATGTGACGGTGGCTCACTCTACTGTCTCCTTTTACCTGTACCTACATTGAAGCCTTTCATAAGCTAGCGTTCAAAAGAAATGGCTCCAGGTCACTGGCGAGGGAGTGAGGGGGCTGGAACCGGAACTCGCTCACCCGGGGTGAGCCCTGGCTGTGGCTCCTGGTGGCAGCGGCCCTGGTACCCAGCTGCCCCGGGGAGTGGGGGGGAGTGGGGGGGAAGCTCATTTTTTACTCAGACCCCGCATTTTTTTTTAAGAAGAGTCTCACAAAACCCACTGCTACTGCACTAATTACAGTATTTAGAAAAGTATATGCCAAAAAAAGGACGTGGCCACAAGCCCCGCGGGAGCCCCGCCCCTTGTGGCCAGAGCCCAGCGGCCACTCCGGCCGGCACACCCCGCATTCTTACTCCAAGACTCGCCTTTGGGCCTGCAGCTCCGAACGGCACTGCCGCTCATTCTGCGCCGCCTCCGATGGCCTGTGACTCCTTTTCTCATGTGTTGAAGAAGCCAGTTATTCGTCCCCACTTCCCGTCACTCCACATGCTCTCTGCATTGCTTTCCAATGGGGTCGCTTTTTGCAGTTCTACTGACCCGGCGCAAGCCCAACTCTCCCGAGGGGTCCCAGGCGGCTCTTGGGAGAGGGGGCTTAGGGATGCTAAGTTCCTTTTTTTTTTTTTAAAAAAAAAGATTTTATTTATTAATGCAATCAGAGCTGGGGTACAGGCCAGAGGTGCAGGGGTCGTGAGAGGCTTCACCAGAGACAGAGCGGGGAGCAGAACAGGGCAATCGTGGAAGTACATACACTGCTGAGGGGAGCAGCGGGAGGGTAAGGAGGGGTCTGCCACACCACGTGGGTCGCCTCTGGGGATCAAACTCGCACCCAAGCTGCCGCTAGCTGCACTTTAACCTCTGCGCCGCCAGGGAGGCCCCGGGGGTGCCAGGTTCTAAGAGAAAGCAGTGTGTATGAAGAGCAGGGGACGGCCACTGTTCTCCCTCCTTCCTGAAGGGGGGCTCTTTCCGGGCAAACATCAGCCAGTCAGTCAGCGTGTCCAGTCCCCGCCCCGGCACCAACAAGCTGGCCGAGCCCGGCCTCGGGGGGCCGAGTGGGCCCCAGAGTGGGGGCTGCGCTTCCAGCTGCCGCCCGCCCCCGCACGTCCAGCCCTTGCATATGTTGGTCTCCACGGCATTTCTGAAAAAATTGAATAACCATTTTAAAACTATGGATGTCTTCTTCTGGAATGATCTAAATAGGGGAAGGATGGGGCTGTGCCCCTGCCCTGGAGACACTGACGTGTGCTCTGGCCCCCGCCCAGACCCCTTCCCTCATTGACCCTTCGAATGGGCGGGAGCCCAAGGCTCTGTCCCTCTGTCGTGAAACAGCCCAGAACATGATGGAAAGGAGGGGGAGGTGGCGGGCAGTGATGCGGGGGCCTGGCCTGCTGACGGCCCTGGGCACCGCCAACCAGCCCGGGGACCCCAGGCCGGTGGCCCCCACCCACATGGTGCGGAACACAGCACAGCCTCCCTGCCTGTCCCCTGCTCTCCAGTGAAGCTGAACGACTTCGAGTCGGCCGTGAACAACTTTGAGAAGGCTCTGGAGCGGGCGAAGCTGGTCCACAACAATGAGGCGCAGAAGGCCATCCTCAGTGTGAGCCCCAGCTGTGGAAGAGGGGGAAAGAGGAGGGCGGGGGGAGCAGGGTGGGTGGAGGGAGGGGGCGGCCCTCAGCCCCTCAGCGCTCTCCACCCTCCTCAGCTGCCTATCACCCACCAGGAGGGCAGGCAGCTGGGGGCTGCACCATAACAGAAGACAGAAACAGGAATTTTACAACCATATTCACTCTCCCCCTCCCCCCCCCCCAGGCTGGTACCCCATGTGGTGGCTGCTTTGGCTTCTCTTTTCTTTGCTTTAACACAGGCTGAAGCCTCCTAGACTGAGTCTAGGTCTGGACAGTGCTGCCTCCTCCAGGAGTCAGAGGAGTGATTGCCTCACCCCTTTGCCTTAATCCTCTGCTGTCTTTCCTGGGAGAGCGCTCCAGGCCCTTCCTGGCCAGGGCTGGGAAGCCTGTGGTAACCTCTCCCCCTGCAGCAAGCCGCCTTAGTTCTGGCTCCAACCAAGGCAGCCCCCTGCCTGTCCCCGAACTGCCTCTTAGCACTGCACGCCAGCCCGTTCTCTCTGCCCGGAATGTGCTTTGAAACTGCCTGGCCCAGCTCTTCCACCTGGCGAGCTCCCTTCTGCGTTGGCTTTCAACACCCCCTCTCCCAGATGGGCTCTGAGCCCTGGCCTGGGCGGGGCCTCTCTCCTGGCCCCCAGCCCCAGATGTCTCCTGTTGTTGTCCGTATCTCTCTGTACTGAACGGCCTAGACGCCGGAAGGCAGGCCTCCGTCCCGCTCAATAAGGCAGCCACAGGGTCAGTTAGCTCAAAATGAAGTCACAGCAGAGGAAATGCAACATTGCGCTTCCCAGCCACACCACTCCCCTTGTACCAAGTGCTCGGCGTGGCTTGTGGCCACCCCAGGGTGCAGAGCCAGGGCATGCCTGGGGTTGCAGAAACATCTGCTGGCCTTACTGACCTAGACCCTAGGCTTCAGGAGGCATGGGCTGGCGGGAAGCCTGGAGGTACCCCACCGCTCCCAGAGCCATTTTAGGCCAATGCACACCTTGGGGGGCGGGGCTGCACCCCGCTGTGGCAGATGCACAGGCAGCTTAGCGTGAACCCCCTGGCCACCGCCAGATTGCTGCCCCTAAGCCTTCTCATGTCAACATTCCGGAGTTGCCACAGCACATAGCTGGACCCCAACAAGCAGCTACTAGAGTGAATTGGGCAAGGCCCTGCCCCTGGGGAGTGTGCCTGGCTGAGAGGCCAGAGTGCAGAACAGTGAGCAGGAAGCACCAGTGGCCCGGCCCAGGGACCAGGCTGTGGGCAGGGCAGGCACTCAGGAGAGCGAGGGGGCCCTGGGGAGTCACCCCCAGAACTAGAGAAGACATGGAGGGGAGAGCTCGGCCAGGCTGAGAAAGGCAAGGACACTGAGGCCCGGCGGTGTGGCACTGAGGGGTCCCAGGGCTGGTGGGGTTCCCGGCAAGGGGAGCAGGGTCAAAGGCCACAGGCAGGCAGTGGATCCAGCCTGGACCTAAGAGTTGGGAAGGGCGGAGAAGTGGCCTGGCCCGCTGGGCACCCAGCTTAGGGGCTAGCTCATGGCTTGAGAGGTCCCAGTGGGTGAGGCCATTACCTCCCCGGCAGGGAGATTCCCAAGAGGCCCCAATGGGGTGGCAGTCTGCAGCCTGCTTTCACCCAGCCCAAGGCCCAGAGCCGGCACCTCCCATGCTTTTCCTCTGAGGAGTCCGCTCCCCTCACTGGTTCTGGATTCCTGGGGTGGCCGCTCCCACCTAGGCCTCGCCACTTGAGCGAGCACTTGGGGCACCCCAGTGAACACATTTGCTGACCAGGAGCTGGCTCTGGGCTGCCCAGCTTGAAGGTGGCAATTTTGGTCCTGGCCTCAGGAAGTTGAAAACACCCGCCGCCCCCCCCCCACACCTCCTGTCCATGACCAGTGAGGTGGGGACTAGGGGGATTCAGAATGAGCGACCACAGTGGAAGGCTGGGTGGGGGCTCTTGCAGCCAAGGGTCTAACTAAGGGGTGGAGAGGCAGAGAGCAGTCCCTCTTGCCTGGGCCAGACAGTGTCGTGGCCTTGAATGACCTCCTGAGACCGGCCCCTGACCCTTCCCTCCTGGACTGGCCTCGAGTCTGTGCAGCTGGGGGAGTGGCAAGCTACCCGCAGGGAGGTGCGAGGCCCGTGGCTCTTCCGTGCCATTTCCCAAGTCTGTGGTGCCCTGCCCATGCCAGCTATGGGGTCTTCTGTGGGGAAGAAGGCAGAGCCTGCCCTCCAGAGGTTCACAGGCCCAGGGGAACCTGCGGACACCTGGGGCGCCCCTCTGAGGCCGGCCAAGCGCGGGGTGTTTCTGAGTCCTGTCCATGGCTGGCTGCCCTGTGAGTGCAAGGGGCTTAGGTGTCTCCCTGTGTTGGCTAGAGCCAAAAAAGCTTTAGGCAAAAAGGGCAGAAAACAGCGGACAGACAGGCTGCCAAGGTAGAGGCCAAGTCCCGGGGGCAGCCACGTGTGGAAACGTAAGCTGCCCGCGGGCAGGAGTCTCCCGCCAGCCAGGAGAGGGGAGGGTGGCAAGGTCAGCGCCCAGCCCTGCCCAGCCCTGCGCCCTGGGGCTGGGGTGTGGGTGGCAAGGTGTGGGTGCCAAGCAGGGGTCAGGAGAGCTCACCAGTTCCCTCTACTACCCGTAGGCTTTGGATGACGCTAACAAAGGCATCGTCCAAGAGCTGAAGAAAACCAACTACAGGGAACTTTTCTATGGGAAGAAAGAGAAAGGTGAGTTCCCGAGCCCCGAACAGGGCCCCGTCGGCCCCACCCCCACCCCCACCACGCCTCTCGCCTCCCCCCAGCACCCTGTGTCCTGCCCCCAATGGCACCATCCTTCTCCCCAGGGACCTGAACCCCACTTCTGCCCTGAGAGCCACACGTGCATTTCTTCCATCAAATATCGTGGAACCCCTGTCTCATGCCAGGAAGGGGTGAGATGTCGGGGGCAGACTCAGTCCTGCTCTAGAGAAGCCCACACCCAGGGGCACCCTGAGAGCGGGACGGGTGCACAGGCGGGCACACTCCCTGTGAGGACAGAGCCCAGTGTTCTGGCTTCTCCAGGGAGGTAGGGAAGCCTCCAAGGAAGAAGAATCCTTGGGGTCACCTTGAAAAGGGGCCCCACGGCTTTTCCGGGGGCAGGTGGACGAGGGAAGGCATTCCTAGCAGGGAAAGGGGGGCACAGAGGCATGGGCCGACAGTGCCATCCTTCTGGGGCGCCTGTGTGGCAGGAGTGGGCCGAGCCCAGGCGGGAGCCCTCTCACTGGTACTCAGCGCCCTGAGAGGCAGCTGCTGTTTTGGGGGGCTGAGTAAGGTCCACGGTCTGCCTGGGGAAGTGGCAGTCTCCCTTGGATCCACACTCTTCCCGACGTGGGGCTGCTCTCTGGGGCCAGAGCCGGGCCACAGAGGTCAGAGAGGCAGCGGTGAGCTGAGGGGCCGGGGCTGCACCTGCTCGCGGCGTTTGGGGGAGGAAGTAGTAGGTTGTTCCCCCCCCCACCACCACACACACACAGCCTGAGCCTCACCCCAGCCCCTGCTCTGGCTGGGTCCTGCGCAAGGAGGGAGACAGGAAGGGAAGCCGACGTCAGCCAGAGCTTCCCCTGGCATTCTCAGCAGGCCCTCCAGGGACTGACTCTCCTGAGCCCTCCAAGAGTGCCGGGAAATGGGTAGCACTGACCGCTGATGTCCCAGGTCAGGACTCAGGGCTCCAAGTCCTGCCACAGGCTTCAGGCTCCAGCCACTGGCTCTAGGCTGTTCCTGGGGACAAGGACAGCCTCTGCCCCTCTGTGTGTATCTTCAGCCAGGGCTGGGGTTTTGTCATCTGTGGGGACAGAGCCCCCGCCAGGCCCCAAGGCCAAAGCCCTGTGTGATTCAGGGGCAGCAGGCTGGAGAATTGGAATGTGGGGCTTTGGCCCCTGAGCAGCCAGGTGTCAGCCCTATCATCCAGTGCCTGCCATGTGGTGACTGGGACCCTCAGAGGGATGCCCTCTGCCCTCGGAAGAGCTGTCAGAGGCCACAGGAACCTTAAATGAGACCAGACACCGCCCGGACCCGCGGGGCGCCCCAGGCCCCGGCTCTGGCCGCAGCTGCCAGCACTTCCCTCCCCGACCAGCAGGTGGCGGCATGGCACCCCTCCTCGGCCCGCGCAGCCGCTCCGGCACTGCGCGCCGAGCCCCGGGCTCGCGCAGTGGAGACTCGGGAGGGCGTTTGCGTCTTTGCTCCGCCTTGGTTAAAAACAAGGAGCGAGGAGCAAGGCCGCGGTGGTTGTAGACAGCCGTCCAGCTCAACTTCCAGTAGCGGTCTGCTGGTATTGTTGCAGGGAACCTTGGGACAGATGACGGACCTGCTTCCGGGCCTCAGGGGCAAAGGCCGTGAGGATGGGGGGGCGGGGGGGGGGCGGAGCGCTTCTTCTCTCCCAGCGCCTGGGCGGGTTCTTGTTGGGAAAGGACTGCTCCTGGGCCACGGTTGTTCTGGGTTCAAATCCCGACCGCCATTTCTCTCTTTGCAGTTCGACCTCCGTGTGTTTCTTTTTCCATCAGTCTCAGGCCCTTTGATCACAAACTCGAGGCAGTGACACGTGCAACGTGTGGTGGCCGAATGGTGCACGCGGCACACACCCGGCGCCTGGCAGGGCTGCGGCTCGGCGTTCGGCAGATGCCTTCCTCCCCTTTCAGAAGGGGGAGCCGTCTCCCAGCCTCTCCACCGGCCGGGGTCCACCCAGGCCCAGAGAGGACCCAACTCTCCCCTCCCTTCTCTCCCTTGTGTTTCAGAAGAAACACCTGCACAGGGTAAGCCAAAGGCGACAGAGAAGGAGACCCCAAGAAGAACGAAACATGATTCCGAGAAGGTAGTGAAGCACTGGGAGAGAGAACACGGCGGCGGGACCGACAAAGAGACCGAAGAGGACGTGTCCAAGGAAGACCTGGGCACCGCAGCGAGCGACACCCAGGGGTACAGGCCGGGCGGAGGGCTGGCTCAGGCCAGCTCCTTCAGGAGGAGGGAACCCCGAGAGCTGGGGAGAGATTCAGGCGAGGCTGCCAAGGTGGTATCGGGAGCACCAGGCATAAGAAGTTCCAAAGAAGTAGATCAGAAGTTGCCCGAGGTGGGCAGAAGAGAATCAAGAGAAATTTTTAGGAGGGATTCACAACTGGACCAAAACCTCTCCGAATCAAGCATAAAGGAACTGGAGGAACCCCAGGAGGCACCCCTGGAAGCCAGCAGGAGCGAGTCAGAGGGGCTGGTGGAAACAGGCTCCGAAGAGCAGACCACAGATCAGGCTGACAGGATGGAAGGCGACGAAAGGCGGGGTGACTGAAGGGGCGCGGGGCGGGGGCGGGGGCTGGAAGGGGCCAGGGAGACCTCACTCAACTGGACTTTCAAGCTGAGATTTATCTTTCTTTAGTAGGAAAAACCGGGGGCTGTGTCCCGCAGGTCACCTCTGCCTCTGTCACTACTTTCACTTTAAATACATAGTTTCACTCTGACAGACCCCGAATCTGTCACTTTGCTTCCTCACCTGCACCATTGTCAACAGAGCCGTTGTGAACGAGTGACTGGAAACAGGGTGCCACTTCCCTGCAGGCACAAGTCTGGCCTGACTCTGGTGAGAAACACAGACACCCCCAAACAAGGTCCAGCTAGTATGTGACTGAGGGGGAACATGGAAACAGATCTCTTCCCCAGGGCCTGTCCATGGTCCTCATGGAAGGGGTGAGAGAGGTGCTACGAAGTGCTTTTAGGGCGTGAAACAGGTGGACACCAAGGAACCCCAAAGGCCTACGTCAGGTCTCAGGGTGGGGGGTGGCAAGGCCTGGGCGTGGTGCTGTGAATGCCCGGCCCGCGGCCACTGGGTCAGCTTGCCAAGCACCTGGTTGGCCCGGAGGAAGCTTTAGAAAGAAATGGGGCGCCAGCTCAGCCCCCACATGACAGAGGGGAGACAGCTTGTAAGCTTTGAAACTCTTGAAAACAGAATGAAGCTGTCAACTGAGAGGGGAAAAAAGGGCTATGATAAATGAGCATTTATCTGGGTGTCTTCGATTTGCTCACTGGGCAGCATAAACTTAGGCATCAGTCCAAGTTGTGTCTGACTGGGGTCTCTGTTTAAGAGGGCTGTAAAGGACAAAAGAAGGGAGAAGGCAGGATTGCAAACTTTTCCCCAAGAATTAGGCCTGGTTAGGGATTAGATTCCCGAGACTCCCCTGACTTTTAGTCAGTTTGGCTTTGGTTACCAAGGAGGGACAAGAGAAGATGGCCACTCGGTTCTTGGGAAGGCTGTGTCTAGTTGAGACCTCCTAAGTCAAAACCGTTGTTTGAATTGTAAGTTCGTCAGAGTTTCCGGGGACCTCCCTGGTGGTGCAAGAGATTAAGTCTCAGCACTGTGAAGCTGCAGCCGTGCAGCCACCATAGCTGGGTCTGATCCCCGGCCAGGGAGCTGACTCACATGGCGCAGCAGACCTCTCCTGTCCCCCCACTGCTCCCCTCAGCAGAGCATTTCAGTGGATCCGCCTGTTCTGCTCTTCACTCATCTCTGGTGAATCCTCTCACCTCCCAGCCCCCCCTGCACATCTGGTCTGTGCCCCAGCTCTTGTATGCCTAAATAAGTAAATATTTAAAATAAAGTTTCAGCACAGAACAGAGTTGTGTACCCTGGAATACCCCCTCTGATAGGGGTACCGTGCTCTAGAAACCCACAGGGAGGTTTTCACCCCAGATTTCACCTTGGGTACATTCAAGCTGGGGGTTCCCCAAGCTGGGTGCCTCCTCTGTAGAATGGGGAAGTGTCTTAAAGGGCAGGGTGAGAAGAGATTTATGAGGTTAGCCAGCACTCGGTAAACAAGGGGCTCTGAACATCCCACCCACCTGTGGCTCACAGGACAGGTGGCGGCTGAGCAGCCGCCTGAGGATGAGGAGGGTGCAGAGGGGCCACTTCATTTCTCTTCCATCCCCTGGCCCTTCCCATCATCCCCTGGCCCTTCCCATCCTGACTCCCGCTCCACAGTTCCTAAGGGCTGGGTTGGGGCTGATGTTAGGCTGGGCGTGAAGCGTGATATATTTCACAGGGCGCCCCACACGCAGCAAAATAAACAGTATTTTAATGCAATGTGGGGGGGGGATCAGAATGCATGCAAAAACCCACGCTGAGTAAAATACCAAACATGCAAATAAGGACCGAGTCTGACCTTGCACTTGCACGGACCCTGTCTCCAGCACCGGACTGGAGAAGAGGGACCGCTTCCTTCTGGGCAAGTCCGCTTTTCCCCAGGACACCTAGCAGCTCCGCGACCGCGGCCAGCACTGCGGGCACAGGTGGGTGGCGGCCTGGTCGGCTGGGCCCGCGCCCGCCGCGCCCGCCGCGACTCTTGCGAGTTTCCCTTCCCCGCGCCTGCGCCGAGAGGGCCGGGTCGCGCCCACCCGCTGCCGCCCGTGGCGCTCCGCCCCCGGGCTATGTAAGGCGGTCAGGTGCGGTTGACGGCATCGCCGGGCTCCGCGTCCCTCCGCGCAGGCGGGCGGCCCCGCACAGCGAGTGCCTGAGAAGGCGGCGACGGCGGCGCCCCTCCTCATCATGGTGAGCGGGTGCGGGCAGGAAGGGGGGCGCGAGCCGGGCACGGTGGCCTCTTCACGGGAAAAGAAAGCCCTGGGCACTGGCAAAAGAGACGGCTTGCAAATGAGCAACGAGTTTCCGGGGTGTAGCGATTTTTTGGCAGCCCGGAGGTAGGGGAGACGCGGGGAGAGTGGGTGCGCGGGGACGGCCCCCGGAGGAGGCACAGAGGCCTGGAGCTGCAGCAGCCGCCGCCTCTAGGGCAGAACCCCAAGGGTGCGGGGCTCAGCGCCCCCGAGTCCCGGGCAGCTGTTACCCGACGCGGGCAGCGCTGGCGCGCGGCCCTCGCCTTCCCGCGCCACGGGGATGGTGTCCGCCCGGCGGAGCTAACGGGAAGTGGCGCCATTACAGAGAAAAAGGGTTTTGGTAAAAGTGCTTTTAGCAGGCCAGAAAACAAGCGGCTGAGAGGGGCCGCAAAGACGCATGGCCGTGTGGGCAGAGCTGGGCCCCGAGAGCAGGTGCCCTGTGCCGCCCAGTCCTGGGGCAAGCAGAGACCTCGACTCCGGGGGTGCGGGGGGTGCAGAGGAGTTGGTGCGGGCGCCTTGAATGCCACCCGTTGTCCGGCGCTCTCCTGCCCTGCCCCCACCCGCCCTTCTGTGAGACCATTGTCCCCCCATCCCAGACAAGAGAGTATTATCCCTGGCTGCCATTGTTGGGGGAAGGGAGGCAGTCTTCGGGTAACCCTTCTCCACCTCCTCCCTCCTCTGCACACTCAGAGCCAGGGCAGCTGTGGCTTTGCCCAGACGCAGAGACCCCCCACCTCCAAAGAGGTCCTCCTTGAGCGGTGTCAAGACTATAAAACCGAGGGTCAGCCCCTAGAGCCAGCCTTCGGCCTCCCCTGCACACATATTTTCCCCTTAGTGGTGGCAGCAGGAGGCGGCCCTTGAGGCTGGAACCCGAAGCGGAAAGTGGCTTAGGAAAGTGCAGCTGGGCTCCCTCCACCCTGCACCTCCAGGAGCAGACAGGTACACCCACACTGCGAAGAGTGTGACCCGGGCCACGGAGGAAGCTGCCACTTCACGGGGCGCTGTGGGTCTGACTGGGGAGCCCCCAGCAGGGGTCCCCGGGTAGGGGGCACAGCTGGGTGGGCCCGAGCGACCTGGCTGACCTCTGCTCTTCTCACACAGAATAGAGGCTTCTCCCGAAAGAGCCACACATTCCTGCCCAAGATCTTCTTCCGCAAAATGTCATCCTCAGGGGCCAAGGACAAGCCCGAGCTGCAGTTTCCCTTCCTGCAGGATGAGGAGACGGTGGCCACGCTGCACGAGTGCAAGACCCTGTTCATCCTGCGCGGCCTGCCGGGCAGCGGCAAGTCCACGCTGGGCCGGGTCATCTTGAGCAGGTACCACGACGGCACCAAGATGGTGTCCGCTGACGATTACAAGATCACCCCTGGTGCTCGCGGAGATTTCTCGGAGCAGTACAAGCGGCTGGACGAGGACCTGGCTGCCTACTGCCGCCGGGACGTCCGGGTCCTCGTGCTGGATGACACCAACCACGAGCGGGAGCGGCTGGAGCAGCTCTTCGAAATGGCCGACCAGTACCAGTACCAGGTGGTGATGGTGGAGCCCAAGACGGCCTGGCGGCTGGACTGTGCCCAGCTCAAGGAGAAGAACCAGTGGCAGCTGTCTGCCGACGACCTGAAGAAGCTGAAGCCTGGGCTGGAGAAGGAAATCCTGCCCCTCTTCTTCGGCTGGTTCTTGACCAGGAAGAGTTCCGAGAACCTCCGCAAGGCTGGCCAGGCCTTCCTGACGGAGCTGGGGAACCACAAGGCCTTCAAGAAGGAGCTCCGACAATGTAGGTGGCGGTCTGGGGGCGGTCGGCCACCTCCGCGGGCCCCTTGCTGGCCGCAGGGGCTGCGTGCATGGGCCTGTCCGCCCAGGGCCAGGGAGCAGGGTGGGGGAGCCCAGAGGGTGCCCCGGCACAGGCAGGAGGTTGCAGGCAGCGCAGGCACCCGGGACAGGGGCCCCTCCTCTCCCGCCGCCCCTCCCTCTTCTCCCCTCTCCCTGCCTGGTTCTAGACTGCTGACCTTGGTATAGCGGTGAGTTGCCCCAAATTGTAAGGAGGGGTATTGTGACTTGACGCAGGATAGTTCCCAGACTCTGGCCATCTCGTGGCTACAGGTCACGGCTCTCACGCCTGGTCTAATGCCCTTTTTTGCAGATGAGAAAACTCTAGAGGGGATGTGGGGTTTGCCCAAAGTCAGAGTGAACGCTGGGTGCCACTGACCCCAGCAGCAGAGGCCCCCCCAGGCGGTAGGACCAGGGCTCTCCCAGTAGGGCCCTGCTCCGCTGACAAGCGGCTTGGATAAGGACCATCGAGGCCCTTTCTCTCTGCAGGAGAACCAGCTATGCCTCTGGCCCACCTCCAGTTCCCTCCACTTTCAGGGGATCTTCACGGTTGAAACATCCCCATCCTTGTTTCCTTGTGTTGCTCAGAGACAGGCCACCTGTACCTGGATGTGTCCCCAGAGAGCTTTCTCAGCTCCTAAGGCTGGACCTCTGGATGCCAGGGAGCCGTGGTGCCTGTGGAGGCCTGGCTTGAGTCCTGTCCCTGTAAACAGCTTGAGAGGAAAGTGCCCAGGGGCAGCCTTCCTGGTTAGAGCCGGGGGCTCTTTTCACTGTTCACCCTGCACTCCTTCCCCTCCGGCATGTAGCCAGGCAAGAGCAAGGCTGCTCTGGGGTGGCATGTGCCCCCTCTGCAGAAGGGGAGACACCCTCACAGGTCTCAGTTCTGGGAAGGAGGAGGAACAGTGAAGGGAAGACCTAGGGACGCCAAAGCTCACCATAGGCATGGGGACCCCAAGTCTGGGAACCACAGAAACTCCAGGCCAGCTCCATGCCCTCCTGGCGGCTGCCAAGACCCCCTCCCGCCCCAGGTCGGGTTCTCATCTGCCAAACCAGCTGGTAGGGTAGATGTTACAGTGACCGCTAACTTCCTGTCCAAGAGGACAAGTGAAATGGGGCACTACTCACAGTTCTGGAGTGGTGGTGGGAGAATTGGGGTGGCTGTCGACTGGTAAGGTCCATGACCTGCCCAAGGCGCGAGTGGGCCGGGCTGTTGGGGAGCACTGTCTGCCACCTCCCACTGTCTGAGTACTCCCCAGCCTCCCTTGCTCTTCCTCCTCCACTTCTCCTGACTTGCCTCCCCCAGTTACCCTTGGCCTCTGCTGTCTAACCCTGGGGTACAAGGGACAAGTCTGGGGGGAGATGTCAACCTCGATATAGTTTAAAGCCAGGGAACGGAAACACTTGCTCATAGCTCTAAAGTTGCTCTTAGTTTGACCAGTGAATGGTAGTGGATCGCCCGAGTTTAAGCCTGAGGTCCGGTTTTTTCCTGTGGGCCCCCATGGTATTGGTGGCCAGTGTTGAGAAGGCCCTCGAGCAACCGGGCCCATGTCTCCGCTCTCCTGCCCTGACCGCCACGCTCTCTCCCTGCAGTTATCCCTGGTGATGAGCCCAGGGAGAAGATTGATCTGGTCACCTACTTCGGGAAGAGACCCCCGGGGGTGCTGCACTGCACCGCCAAGTTCTGCAACTATGGGAAGGCTCCTGGGGCAGAGGAGTATGCCCACCTGGACGTGAGTGCTCCCCAGGGGTACCCCGCTGATGTAGGGAGAGGGAAGGGCTTGGAGAGGACCAGAAACCGGATGGCAACTCAACATGGCTGCTCCTGCGCCAGCCGGCCCCTTCACAGGCGTGGTGGTAGGGCCTCAGTGCCCTTCTGGGGGCCCAGGCAGCAGTACCGCCAGCCAGAGCGTTTGCCCCCAGTGCCTTTCCCGTCTGCGGATCGTGGAGAATGCTGGTTGGCAGCAGGCTCCTACTCTGGCCTCTGAGCTCGTGCTCACATCTAGCTGTGGGACCCTGGGCCTCTGGGTCTATGCCCCAGGCCCCCGAGTGGGGACCGCTCCTGAGCGAGGCTTCCTGGCTTAAGGGTACCACACAGACCCCACCGAACTTGTCCTCCACCTCAGCCTCTTGTTCATCTTTAAGCCCCCAAGCCCCTTCCCTGGCCCTTCATGCTCCCTCCCTGTCCCTGTTTTTGACTGGCTCACCCTAGAGGACATCTAGCACCTAGCGCCCTGCGCGAAGCCGCTCGCTGGGCAGTATTTAGTAACACCTGTGCTGTGCTAGACGCTGTTGGGCCCAAAGGAAAACAAAGCAGCCTTTATGTCAGAGGGGAGGGATGCGCTTTCCTGGAGAACCGGCTATTCCCAGATGTGACCAGCTGCCAGGCGCTGGGAGTAGATGTGGCTCGAGGGCATCTCCCGACCTGGGCCTGGCCAGCAGGTGAGGCAGCCCAGCAGTGGCTGCGGCTTGCTGTGCCCAACACTGTTCTAAGCTGCTCATTCCCGCACCCCCATCACTCCTCCTGCGCCCCAAGCTGGGCTCTCACATCACCCCTCTTTACGGTGAATAAGCTAACTCACAGCGGAGGAGATCCGGGCTCGCAGCTCCTACTGGGGAGCGAGGTCCCCAACTCGGGAGGTCTGTTTAGCCCCTGCTTCGCTGGACCGCGGTGTTCTTGACATCCACCTGCGCCGATGCACAAGCGGGGAGGCGGGGGCCCGCATGAGGCCTTCACAAGCCCTGCTCAGTCCCACCGGGGCCCGCCCCGCCCCTTCTGGGCAGCCCACCACCTCCAGCTCACCCTCTCCTCCACGCTCACCCTCCGTAGGTGGTGAAGAAATCCTACGGCAAGGCCTTCACGCTGACCGTCTCTGCCCTCTTTGTGACGCCCAAGACAACCGGAGCCCGGGTAGAGCTGAGCGAGCAGGAGCTGCCCTTGTGGCCGAGCGACGCGGACACGCTGCCACCCTCGGACAGCCTGCCCCGGGGCAGCCGTGCCCACATCACCCTCGGCTGCGGCAGCGGCGTGGAGGCCGTGCAGACCGGCTTTGACCTCCTAGATATCGTGAAGCAGGAGAAGGGGGGCAGCCGAGGCGAGGAGGTGGGTGAGCTAAGCCGGGGCAGGCTCTACAGCCTGGGCAATGGGCGCTGGGTGCTGAGCCTGGCCAAGAAGATGGAGCTCAGGGCCGTCTTCACAGGGTACTACGGGCAGGGCAAGCTTGTGCCCACACACGGCGCCCAGAAGGGCCGCGCCATGCAGTCCTGCACCATCATCTGAGCGTCCTCACCGCCACGCGCCCCTTGATCTTTAGAAGGGAAGGGGGAGGAGGGGACGTGCCCTAAGCTTCATCTCTGAATTTTTTTTTTTACTCAAAGTTAACCTTCCTGTAACTTTTAAAAAATGTGTAAAATAACTCCCTTTTCCTACCCACTGTTTCCCCTCTAACACTCATGTTGTCAACACAAGGAGGGGTGGTGGGCAGGCGCCATTCCGGGGCCCGGACCCAAGCCGAGGGCCTGGCGCTGCGGCCCAACCCAGCCCTGCTCCCAGTTACTGGTGCCCCGGCGCCTGCCCTGCCCACGGCTGCACGGACCCACCGGGTGGGCAGGGCAGCTCTGGAAAACTAGTGGTGGGCTTGAAAGGGCGGGGACCCCTGGGCTTTGATCCCATTTCTTAATCAGTACAGCCCCAAGAAGGCTGGGGCTACTTATCAGGGTACAAAAAGGGGGGGTCACCTCCCACTTTAGTCCTAAGTGCCTGTCCCTGCTTTCACTCTGTAACTAGGTAACAGTCTGGTAACTAGGGAAGAACACAGTAGGCAGCTGCCATATCCCAGGCTGGCTGCGGGCCTTCCTGCCAGTGGTGTGGCGGCGTGGATGGGAGGCTGAGGCCAGAGACAGGCCCTCGGTGGGGAAGCTCCAGTCTCGCTGTCTGTCCAGCCCATCTCGCCTCCTCGGTGCCTCTGGGGGCCTGTGTGCCTCCTCTAAAGGGGGCTGGTGGGTACCAAGAGCCAATGCAGCGGACTCCTGCTGTTAAGGACCAAGCCTCACCTGGTGCCTCTGGAAAGGGTTAACACTGCTACGTGTGCTGTGGTTCTTGGGGTGCCCTCTACTTGCCTCTGCTCAGTAACAGGACCTTGCTAATCAGGTTGTCACTAGACAAAAGTGCTTGGGATTTAAGTTACTATCCTGTCTTTGCCCAACCTCAGCAACTTGTAAGACTGATAATGAAATAAATCATGTTAATCCGAGCCGTGTGCCGTCTCTCTCACCCTTCTGTGCCCAGCTCAGTCTTCCTGGGGCAAGGGCTGGGTGTATTAGGACTGGCTTTGTCCCACAGCTTGGGGCCATCGGTCCTGTCTCCCCTCTGCTGGCTGGGCACAGCTGTGGTGAGGCTGGGCAGCTGAACAGTGCCTGCTTTCATGAGCAGGCAGAGAGGAGAGGTTGGCCTAGGCTGCACACAGTAAGTGGGGGTTGGCTGTATGCAGCGCGGGGCCTGCTGTCGCCCCATTAAGTGTGGCAGGTGGGCCAAAGCCTAACCCCACTCAAGGCTTCTCAGTCAGACCCAAAGTTCTTAGCACGGGCTTCCCAGAGTCCCTAAGGAGGCGCCTCTTGTTCAGGGCTGCTTCAGACACTGGGAGCCCTGACATTTGGGTGTCTTCCAGGCCCAAGAGGCACTTGAATGGCTATAGGGGAACTTAGACTGACCCAGTCATTCCATGGTGACCTTGGCACCAAGGGGGAAGTCTGGAAAGAAAGGAAATCCTGTTTTAGCTAATCCTAACTATTTAATCCTAGTTATCAAGGATTGACTAAAGGTCTCTGACTGGCCACATCTACAACCAAAGCACCAAAAATCTAAGCTTCAGCCAAAGCCTCTGCTCAAAGCCCCTAAGGTTACTCACCATGAAAGCTAAGCCTGACTTAAACAGCATGACAAATGCCACAGTTTCCCTCCCAACGTGCCTCCCAGGCAGAAAGGGCAACCAGTGGAGAAGGCGGGGCACTTGCTAAGAATGTGAGTGGCCACTATCTGAGTCAATGTTAGTGACAGCCCCATCCCACGGGTGAGGGTCTGAGTGCCAGGGAGGCAAGATGTATCCTTGGCTTCAGCTTCCTCCAGACGACCGGCAACAGGAGCCATGAGGACCTGTATCAGTCTCCTGGGTCAGCACAGCCTGGCAGTGAGCAGACACCCCCGGGCATGTAGCACCTGTGGTTTCTGGTGGCCCCACTGTAAGATCAGCAGGCTTGCTGAATGTGCTCCCATGACTGCCCCGGGGCACAGCAACGCTCCCCCGCCACCTGCTGCCACTCTGAGAAGCACAGGCTCAGGGCTTGGCAGGGACAGCGAGCACCCCACTTGCTGGCAGCTCCTGGGAGCCCACGCCCCTTGGGGAGCAGCTTGCTGGGCTTAAAGTTCACGTCGCACCCATCTGTGCTGGGGGCTCAGCTCTGGCTCGCTGACTGAAACAACACAAAGCTGCTGCCAGAGCGAAGTCCCAGAAAGGGTCAAAACCGTTTATTCTCTTCATTTTTTTCTTTTTTAATAAAGTTAAACAGTAAAACAAAAATTCACAAGCTGCTTCCCTGTCCACCCCCCCGCCTCCCTCCCCTTCCCACAGTCTTAGGCGCTGGCTCCCTTCCTTCACCCCACTCACACAGACACAGGGCATCCAACTGAGAAAACAGAACTGCTCTAAGGACATGGAGACATGATGAAGGGAGGAGGTGAATTGTGTCCACATTCAAGGTTAAACTGAGCAAGTCTGCATTTTTTGGGTTCTGGATGGCTTCCTTTCATTAGCCAAACTGAAAAAAGAAATTTCCTGGACCGGATGCTGTAAAGGAAAAGAAAGGCTTGTTAACAGGTTCTATGGGTTTTCTAGGAAGGTCACTTTGTCTGATGGTGGCAAAGTCTGATGGCTGCCTCAAACTCAGAGAACTTCTAAGGGTGCCAAACAGCCCTTGCCCTGGGGTGGCCGAGGGGCAGTGCATGTCTGTACGTGGCCCCAGCCTTGGCTGCTGAGAAACCGGCAGTTGGTGATGCCCGGTCGGACAGTGTGCCCAGGAGCCGTCCCTCTTTTGTCCTCGGTCACCCATGTGGGCAGAGCCCTGCCAGTGAGAACACTGCTGCCTCCATTCAAGGTCCCTCTATTCTGAGGCAAGAGCTGCCTAGCTGAGGCGTTGCTGGGTGGCTTGGGGTCTGCGAACTCCTAACAATGGCCACACCTACCTTCAAAGCTGAAGCCCCCAGGACCGCCAAAGAATGCCTTGAAGATATTGTTTGCATCAAAATCTGTGGAGCAAGTTGAAAAACAGGGACGGTCAAAGAGTGAGAAACTAGAAGTGTTAGAAAAGGAGCTTACTGTGACACCGAGAATGGCTCAACACTTTCCAGTGTCGTCCCTCCTTACCCGAAACTCCAGACTAGGAGTGAGCAAATCTGCCCAGCCCTGTGCAAACCTCACCACTTGCTCTCACTCCTAGGTTCCACTCCTACCTTCCAAGTACAAACCCCGCAGAAACTGCCGCGACCCACCTGGCTGGGACTGTCATTCGCAGTTAAAAGCAATTACGAACAAAAGACATCCCGACATTCTGTCTCTTTAACGCTGCAGCTGTTATTGAAAAGCTAAAATATATCAACTGGAGAATCAGACCTAGGGTTAATTTTGTTTGATTCTATACACTGTCTAGACTGTATGCAGGAAAAAAGCTCCAATTTATTAAGCATCTATTAGGTACCAGTGGTGCTGGGTAAACTCTACATATTGTATCAATCAATCCCAGTAACAGTTTGGATATTACTTCCAATTTACACTCACCAAGACAGAAGCAGGGAGCTCAAGGAACTGCCCAAAGCCACACAGCCCCTATGTAACTACAGCACTGTGCTTTCACCAGCCCGGCAGGTCTGCTGCCCCCAGCCCTGGCCCCTGAGCCGCCCACCACTGGACTCCACAGGCACGCTGTGTCCCAAGGTCTCCGTGTCAGCTCATCTTCCTGGAGCCCCGAGCCCAGTGTGCCAGTCAGCTCTGTCCCTCTCAGCTTACCCCTGTCCCCTCTCACCACACTCAGCAGCCAAGTCTCCCCATTATGCCTCCAATCCTCTCCTATCTGCTGTCTTCCCTTCATCCCTTTCAAGCTACCTTTCCTGACGGCCATCACAAATAAACTTCTAGAGCCTAAATCTGGCCCCAGGTCCCTACTTAAAACGTTTCAATGATTACTTTTCATTTTTAAAGGTTTATTGTATTTAATAACTGGGGTATAGGTCAGAGGTGGGGTAAGAGGACTCACCAGAGACAGTGGGGAGCAGAACAGGTGGGTCTGCTGAAATGCACTGTGGAGGGGAGCAGGGGGTAAGACAGGAAACGTCTGCTGTGCCACATGGGGCAGCTTCCTGGCCAGGGAGGGGACTCCTGTGGCAGTGACTGGTGACAGCTTGAGAGTGTTGTGTCTCTAACCTCTGTGCCACCAAGGAGGTCCTCAATTACTACTTTCCACTGCTTATAGCTGTTTTCAACTGCTAGGCAGAGTAGCAGAGTGGCCAGGAATATCTATTTAACACCATCCATCTTATTTTAAATCCTAATAGATTTTCACAGTGGAGGAGAAAAGGCTGCCATGAGGTACTGATATGAGAACTTAGCACAGTGCATCAGGGCTTCTCATTTCTGACTGAGCACAGAGGGAGCAAAGACATTAATAGCTCTCCTCTACTCATACAAGTCTCTGGGGAAACTAAAATTTGTGAGCACCTACGTTAACGTTATGACACACATAAATGCCAGTCAGTTTAGACTTTGCAATGGAAAAAAGGACTCCCAGTCAACAGAAAAAAGAAGAGCCCATATTCCTTCCTACAGCCTCGAAGGCCTTCTGAGGTCTGACCCAGCTACTTTCTGGCCTCGTCTAACCACTGCCTGCTTCTAGCACCCTCGCTGCAGTTTGAGTCCTTCAAAGCTTCCCAGTGTGCTCTTTACTTCCAAATCTTCCTCTGACAGTGTTTGTCTCCTCAGCGCCCTCTCTGCATCCTGGGCACAAGCCAAATTCATGCCACTCACTGAATTTCATGCCAGGTTTGGCCTGTAGGCTGGAATTTGCAAACCCTAGACACCAAAGGTCGGGGCATCTGTTTTATCCATCTGATATACCCAGCAGCCAATGGAGGCTCACACATTATGGGTCTCCATCAGTGGGGCAGCTTACAAATCACTGAAATTACAGACTGGGAGAGTCTGTAATTACAGACAGAGAGGACTCTGGAATGTCTTCAGGAAAACGTTGAACACTCGACAGTTGTCAGATTTATCCCAGGCTGCCCAGCCAACTCACCACCCATATTCATGCCCTCCTCATCCAGGTCTTGCCCACTGTCATAGCGAGTCTTTTTCTTGGGATCAGAGAGGATGGTAAAAGCTTCTCCAACTTCTTTGAACTTTTTTTCCTCTTCCTTCTGAACTTCAGCACTGGCTCCACTGTGCCGATCTAGTTATACAGGAAGAACTCAGAGTCTCAGGAAAACAAAGTCTAACAGAAAGACCATTTCATGTCTGTAAAATTTGGTGAGTGCCAAAATTTGGAGGGCCTGGAATTTATATATTGAAATATTTATTTATTTATGCATACAAGAGCTGGGATATAAGCCAGAGATGGGGTGTGCTGGTGAGAGGATTCACCAGAGACAGAGCAGGGAGCGGAACAGACAGATCTACTAAGATCCACTGCTGAGGGGAGCAGCGGGCAAGACAGCAGAGGTCTGCTGCACCATGTGGGTCAGTTCCCTGGCTGGGGATCAAACTCGTGCTACAGTGGCTGCGGCTGGCTTCACAGTGCCAAGATTTAACCCCTCCCTTGCGCCACCAGGGAAGCCCAGGAGGTCCTGGAATTTAGCACACCGATTCCCAGATGAAGAGACTCTTGAGGCTTTCACTCTGGACTGAGTTAGGCAGAGGCCCATCTAGCTTGCTCTCCCCTGTGCCTCCCCTTCACCCCCTACCTGGATGGTGCATCAGGGCCCGTTTCCGATAAGCTTTCTTGATCTCGTCCTCAGACGCATTCTTGTCTACTCCCAGAATCTTGTAGTAATCTTTCCTCTTACTCTTCTTCAGTTCTAGCTGTGCATTTTTAAGGAGCTGTTTGTGTTCTAGAGGAAGACATGCAGAGTCAGTGCACTAGCCTGATGCTGGCTTGGCTTGCCAGTCTCAGCCCAGCTAGCTCGGGGTCCGAAGCCTTGTTAACCACA